AGGTGGTGTAAGGCTTAAGGTGGTGTAAGGCTTAAGGTGGTGTAAGGTGGTGACAGGGCTCACCACCACATGCAAAGCAGATGACTTTATAACTATTGTATCCAATTTGATTCTAGTCTGCTAACTAGTTTGTCATTGCAACCTTTTTTGGCTTTCTCTGTTCATTATTTGTACTACAAAAATGAAATAGTCATTTCAGAATGACTTGCCTGTTTCTAGTTTTTTTCCCTTTAGTTAAACTGTATTCTACTGGGCTCCAGTCACTCTAACACACTTCATTTTCATTTTTGTCACATAAAACCACTCCAAGAGAGTGCTTTGGCTCCTTAAGTCCCAAATGTCTGGATGACCTACACATTTTGGCTTTTGAATATAGAACTGATTTCCCCTTCTGATGAATATGTTCGATAATAAATGAAAAACAAGGCTGAGACAGAGAAAAGCAAAGCACAGAGAAGGCAGAGAGGAGAAATGGGGGGGGGGGGGGTTTCTGTGCCCACACAGAGGTGCAGCAGTGATTCATGATGTCACGTGGAGAAGACTGGATGACTCATCCACCAACTACATCATGCAGCCACTGCAGAGAACCAAACATGTGTATGGATGCTCTTCTCTCAATTCCTGATCAGAACAGACCTGTTAACACAGTCAGCCCGTCCTGAGGGTTAGATAATAGCCAATACATACACCTAAAATACTAAATAGTTCTCTGTAACAAAATGAAAGAATGATCACATTTTGTTCATTTATTGTCTAGAATTTGCCCTCTTTAGAATTGATTCCTCTGGATTTAAATAAGAACATGGCACATAGAGTGATTTGTAAAGAATGGCACTCCTCTCTTTCTTCAGTTCATTCATCACAGACTTCTGGCTCACAGAATGCACTTCCCTGACTGGTCAATCCAATTTATTCCACACAAGCTTAGCTGGAGAGAGGCTTGGAGAACGAGGAGGAGGGCTATTTTTAAAGCATACCCTCTTCTTTTTCAGGTTTCCCATACAATGCTTGTTTCGGGCATAAATAGATGCATTGGAAACTCAGATTCCACAACAGGGAGGTATCTTTCACCCAGAAGCAGAGCCAGGTGGCAAAGATCAAGATGGATATGTGTTCATTGTCTTTTACCAACCAGACCACACACAAACGATATTTGAAATGCAGGTAGAGATGGAAAAGATTCAAAGATCTCATTTTTTCCTTCCTAACAAAGAAGCTTACACCATACAAATGTACCACATTTTACAGTATTAGCACTATACTAAGAAATGTTCAACTCAGCTTTTGCTAAGTTCATGCTTTGTGTCATCAGGAACACATCCTAAAATAACACAATATTCAATAAAAAAAAATTATGCTGACTGACTTTCCAAACAAATATGTATACAAAACATCTTTGTCTAAGCAAAGGAACCCCTTGACTCCCATTCAGGGGTAATTCTGGGGATCCTGCCCACACTTGTGTTTTGGTCTCAATTCAAAGTAAACTTGTGCCACAAACAGATGGACCAGACTCAGCGAGTCTTCTAAATTCAACAATAAGGCTATAATCCCTGGTTCAGGCCAGGGCTACAGATGAGATGTAAAGATGAAAGAAAGGATTTAAACCCTGGTTCAGGTAGGGATTTTAGTGGCTTTATAGTCCTGTCTTGTCACATGAGTCAGTCTTGTTTTTATTTGTTTATTCTCCCAGTGAAATTCTGGTTTTGGTCATAGCATTGGTTGATTTTTCATAGCCAATTGATTGTTCCTCCTCAGAGGTATGATTTTCTGTTGTATGATTTATAGCTTTCGTCTTGGTCTTTAGACCTCCGGCCCAGTTCCCTAGACCTCCGGCTCTGGCCGGTCCCCTAGACATCACTCTGCTGCCATCTGCTGACCCTGCATGGTGTTGTTGCCCACAGATGTGTAGCTCCCACACACACACACACACACACACACACGCACACACACACACACACACACACACACACACACACACGCATGCACGCACGCACACATACAATCGGCAAGTCTAAAATAACAAGAAAAAAACAGTAAATGTGAGGTCACAGAGCTGTCTCTATAAGAATCATTCAGAATGCCACAGGCAGACTTTCAGCAGGAACCAGCAGGTGAGCACAGGTCGCCCCCACCCTGGCCCCCCTGCACTGGTTTCCCATCAGATTCAGAATGATCCTTAAATGACTTCTGTCAGTCTCTAAAGCTCCCACTCCCATCACAGATGTTGTACAGCCCCCAGACTGACTCTCTTCTGGCAGATCTGCCCCTTCCATTGACTCCTTTAAATCCAGAATAAAACACATCCTACCACTGGGAGCTCTTCTTCTCCCACCACATCTATTTGTTCCTTGCTGGTTTTGAACTGGAAGCGCTCTCTTTTACCTGTAACTGTTCAGCACCTTGATCATTGTCAGGGGTTTTGAATGTGCCTTATAAAAAAAGACCATGACTTATGATGTGGTCCCTTTAGTCCCAAACACGTGCCGGGTCTCTGGGACTCTGTTCACCTTTGTCCTCAGACAGCAGTCTTAAACAACTGTTCTGGCTGTGTGTGTGGGAGGTGTTGTTGTTAAGGAGGATTCACGTGTTTTGGGGCGTTGTTGGGACTGGATGTAACCACACGGTGGCACTGGCGGCCATTCGGGGACGTCAACTTCCGTTCGAATTAAAAACACGAGTAGAAGAAGAAGAAGAAATGGCCGCCCCGCTATTCCCGGGACAGACCCGCTGACTGAGGACCGGGGGAGCTGAACTTTGAGCTGAGGATGAAGCCGCCCCCCCGGGCCCGCGCCCGCAGCGCGCGCTGTAAGCCGGACCCCGACTCGCCCGAAGGACCGGGCCGGAAGTGGGGGCCGGCGGAGCAGCGGAGGCTGCTGGCCGGCCTCCAGGCGCTGCACGGGGCCGCCGGGGCTCTGCCGGAGCCCGACTACGACCTGCTGAGCAAGGCCGTACGGAGCCGCTCCGCCCCGGAGGTAGGCGTGTGGGCGGGGGGCTGCCAGCCCTCCCAGCCGGGCCCTGCGTGTTGAGTGTCCGCCTAACTTTTCCTCCACAAGATCCGTGACATGGTGGAGTCTCTGAAGAGCAGAGTCATCTCCAGTGCCTGCCAGCGCGTGAGGATGAGCCGCGCGCAGGAGAAGCGTGCCCGCAGGCCCATCGACAGGTGGACGCACATGGCCTCCGCCCTGAG